CAGGATTTTGCAGACCCTTTCCCCCCCCACCCCTTGGCCTTGGAGGAAGTGCTGCCTGAGCCATGACCTCTGGCCCTGGTTTCAGTTCCAATTCAGTCCTGTCTCAGTCTTCCAGTTTATTTCAGTCTATTTCAGTCTATTTCAGTCTATTTCAGTTTATTTCAGTTTCTTTCAGTTTTATTTCAGTTTTTCCACTTCAACTCGTATTTCAGCCTTAATTCAGTTTTAATTCAGTCTTCTTGCCTTTTTTTGGGCCTATCTCAGTCGCTGTTTCAGTCTGTTTCAGTACACCATAAGGATAGTAGATGGTGGGCAGATGGTGGGTAGAGGCTGGGTCATGGAGGGAATCTGCACTGGTGCCCCCCGGTGCCCCCCCCCCCCAACACCCAACCATACCTCAGGATAGAACGATAAGGAGAGGGAGGGGAAGTTCGGATATGGGACGCTGGACCCGGTTTCCAGCAATGTGGTGTCAGACTCAGACTCAGACAGACTCGGTGGAAAAAGGAAGATGTATCCAAGGGACGCTGGACCCCGGTTCCAGCAGGTGATGCTCCCCACCAATAGATGGAGCGGCCCATCAGGCAAAGCCTCAATCCTGGTGGTTCTCTTACCACCACTAGGATAGAGGCTTTGCACAGGCCTTGAGGGGAAAAAAAAAAAAAAAAAAAAAAGGTCAGGAGCTAGTGGGATATTAGGACGAACCAGGGCACTCGGTTCCTGTCGGCAGTCACAATAGACCGCAAACGGGTTGGTAGGGTGGGAGAGTGCCAAGGGGGTTACGATGGAACAGATTTCCGCTCGGCCAAACTGGGCCGGGGTCAAACCGTTTTAGGTCTGTGCATTCAATTTAGCAGCAAAGGGGAGGCAGGATAGAAGGGGCGACAGAGAGCTCCCGCAGTTGCAAAATAGGTAGTAGGACCGTAGGCAGAAGTTTAGGACTCAGGTAAGCTCAGTAAAGATAGGTGGTGAGTCTACTCCATAAGCGAAACTGGCTAAGGCTGCCAGGTTAACTTCCGGGTGGAATTGTGAGGTCCACGACTCCACGGCCTCGATCAATTCTGTTTGTTAATGAATTGCTCATGTTGGTTAAAAAAAAAAAAAAAAAAAAATTGTTGGCCTGTTGACACGGATTTTTTTGTTTCGGTATAGTGGGGGGGGAGGGGGAGGGGGGGGATGTGACGCGCAACCTCACGCCCTGTGCTGTCTTCCGTTCGGAGTGTTAGCTGTGTGGAAAAGAGGCCCAGAAAAACAGCAAGATGGGGTGTGCCAAGGATTTTTGGAAATTGAGTGTGGGGACACAGACGGAACTGAAATCCCCCGTGTTGGTCCGATGGAGCAAGTTGATCGTTTCGCGCGTCACGGAATGTGCGCGCGGGCAAGGCGGGAAAGAGAGAGAAGGACCCAAATTCAATCTAAAAAGTATTGTTGTGCCTCCCACCGGGCTACAGCCCGTCGTTTAGAACAGAAAGGCTTAGGCACGCTTCGCGTGTCTCGTTTTCGTATCAAATCCCGTCGTCGTTCGCTGGTTAGTTCCAAGTCTGACGTCGAGGGTCTCAGTCGCGTGGCTCTTTCTTTATGCTCGTCTTCACTCCGCACACGGTAGTGGAAACCCYTGGACTCGTAGCGCTCAAAACRCTGACATTCGGTGCAYAGAGTGCGCGGCCAGTRGGGTTCTACTGCCGTCCACGGAATGGCGACAATACCGAGTAAGGTGGGAAGTGCGTATCGATAATAACAAACCCGGCTTCTACGAACCCAGAACAGCGGTTGGCCGGAGGGAAGTAATACTGCCCGCCGATTTGTGCAACGGCTTCTCGTACTTCCCACTCACATACACGTGTCCTTTCCTCACTGTAAGGAAAAGGTCGCGTTGGGATGGGAGATACGGGAGGTTGGCRCCCAATCGAAGGGTACTTGTCAGTCCACATGTCAATCAATCACAAAATATCCTGAGACGTCATTAAGAACAAAAGAGATTCGCGCATCCCCCAATCAATCTTTTTGACACAAGAGAGAGAGAGAGCAAACACAGATCAGCTTGATCACGCATATGGCTACGGGTCCGATCAGTTCAACACAACGTTGGTCCCTGGGCACCTTGTTTCTCAGGGCCGCCTCGTGGCTCGGTTGCTGATGTCGTGCAGTATAAGGCAGATGGCATGCGTAGTGCAAACAGAGCTACAGATCTAAACACTCTTGCATTCTCGAACAAAATCCCGACGACACTCGTCTAATCAATCCGAAAAAGTCACGCATCTCTATACATGCATTCACTGTGGAAGGTGCGAAAATGAGACATGCACAAGAAAAAGATGGATCGCATTGTACAATACACACGCATCCATCGTTCACAAGAGAAGTAGACGGGGTCCTTGCGTAGGAGGATTACCCAGGGAACTAATGGAAGAGTTCCGAAAGAAGTCTTTCACACAGACGCAGGATACCAACTTATTTCTACTCAAGAGAGGGACAATCATTCAGACGCATCATCATTCAAAAAAAAAAGAAAAAGAGAGAGAGAGAGAGAGTCGAGAGAAAGGAAGTCCAAAATAGAAGATGACAAGATCCAGGAAGAGAAAAGTTCGGCGTCACCGCTATACATTCACGCCAAAGATAACAATCCGCACCAAATGCGCATTCGCCGTTAATTCCAATATGGCCCCGGGCCAATCAACTCAACATCGATCCTCATACCCGCACCGACGATCCCGGTCGTCGCGTGCTAACTCCCACCACTGCGATCGTCACCTCGCTGTTGTAAAGTCGACACGGTTCACCCAGATCCCACAGTCCGTCGTGGCGATCCAGCGTGCAACCGGCCAGTCTATCGTCTGCCCGACAGGACTTTCCGACTCGCTTCAAACACTCTGCCTAGCCACTGCTTCCCGGACGCTAGCTTGAGAGTCGAGAACGTAAGAGAGATTTGCGGACGTGCTTGCGGGTTTTATAGTTGCGACAGGGGAGATAGAAGGGGGAGAAGGCAACAGGAAAGCTGAGGTGTAAGAGGAGAAGCAGGAGGAGAACACTTTGAGAAGAGTGCTCTATGAACGCCATGCTGATCCCTCGGAACTCAAGGTTCAACCAATCAGATTCGTCGCGCGATAGGAAGGTCCTATCGATCCACGCACCTGATTGGCGAGCGGGAGTTATCGGGGGATCGATCAGGCGTCGTACGCCAGACTTAGAGGGTGAGAAGAGAAAAGGCGCGAGAGGTGGTGCAAGACGGGTCCAAGATTCAGATGATCAAGAAAGGGAAATGGGCGCGCGAAAGCAAGGCGGGAGAGAGAGAGAGGGAGAAGGAAAAACAGTTAGGGGAGAGAGAAAAAGGAGGGAGAAGGGAAGGGAGGCGCGAGAGGGAGCGATGCGGGGGACAGAGAGGAGGAAGTTTTTGCATGCACGGTTCTGTCAACAAAAAAAAGAAAAAGGCACCGAAACAGTTACAGCTTGCTTCTATCCTAATTCAAAATTGAAATCACCATATCCGCGCGCGAAAAGACGACGCGGGAAAAGAAAATCCTACGCTTCTTTGTATTCACGCAAAATTCCGATTGTTTTCCCCGACGCGCCCAAGAACATTCACACACCCAAAAAGGACACGTTGAAGTTTCGCTTATTCCGGAATTCCCAACTACCGAGCCTAATTCCCAGTGCGCTCGCTAAGGCACACGTAAATTCCCATGTATTTCCCGACTTTGCAAGAAGAAAAACAGAACTCAGCAGTCGAAAAACCTATCAAAAAGGAAAATGCGGCACCCGAAATCAAAAAATCAAAACGGGGTTTTCCTGGGGTTGGTATGATACAAGCAAAAGAAAGGGTACGAAGGATGGCACGGGGTCTTGAAGTGGTTCGTCACATATGTGACGAGCAGGGGGTTCCAAAATTATGCGATCTCGTGATTGCATGTCATGACGAAAAAAGAAGAGGGGAGAACAAAGTGATGCATGAGGAACCAAACGGATCAACAAAGCAGAAAGAAGTACAAGGAACGATAACTGGGCCGCGGATGAGATGGCGACAACATCCGTGGCAAGATCTCCGTAGCCCTGTCATATGCAACCCTCTGCCTCATGGAGATCGTCCAGGTGACGCCATCATGGTCCACCTGATCTCCGTGTGCTCTGCACCCTTGCTCGTTGCCGTCTGTTGAATCAACGCGTAGGTTGACGTCATCGTTGATGGCGTGATCTTCGCGAAGCTTACCGATTCGTGACGATGAAGGGAGGGGGGGGGGGGGGGTTCACGTGAATGGGTTCTACCGCCTAGTTGGAATAGGCCAGTAGAGGCGGTACATGTCGCAGATCT